CCCCCGGTGCTTATCGTGTTTAAATACAGAATAAGATAATGGCGACTTTTAGGCTAATAAAGAGAAGGCATGCATTGATGCATTTTCTAGCGAGCTTGACAATGTGACACGTAGGAACCCGTTGGAAATCCATTTCCTCCTGAAACGACTTCAGAGATGTGTCCGAGAGGCCATTACCGTACATCTATATAATTCTTTGGGTCCGAATTGTAACAGTTGCACCAACGATGACACTGATTCTTAACCCATTTTCACTCTCAAACTTATTTAAGTCGTTCCTGGAATTTGGTTACTATTCTGATCATGTGTTCCGTAAAATGATTTACTTTGATGAATGTAGAACAGCGACACCTGTCAAGTTAATTTCACATTCAATAGCATTACAATCCTTATGTCGAAGTCCTCCTAAGTACCTTATTATAAGAAATTAACGCTCGTGTTAATTAAGGTATTCAAAATTTACATACGCTACTTAAATTACACGAATCGAAGGAAAAATTACATCCCAATAATGGACGTTTCACGCGATAGAGGTGCTAAAATTTCAACACGGGGGAAATTAACGCGACTTATTACGAAAAGGGACAACACAAGGTGTAAAAATCTCAACTGCAAACAAGTTCGTGGAATTGTCCCATAACGCAGGGGTCTAGCGAAGCAATCCTATCACATCGAGAGTTCTTCACGGTGTACATGATAAAGGCGGATCTCCACTGAACCTGATAGATTTCCCTTTTCTGCTCCAAGATATTCGTAGAATACCTTCGTTAGCTTAGCATGGGTTGGTAATCGTATCTATAACAAAATTCTCGATCGTGATTGGTTCTCCGCACGCCTATTTGTCACGTAATCGGTGCGCGATCACATGGGTGTACATGTCCAGTCACAGGTGTCCAATTTGAACTTTTTGTAATTGGATACCCACGTAATTCGCACGCCAATTATTCGCCCGATTACTCCCTGAATTGTACTCCACTCTGTCCAATTACTATTACTAACCATGAAGCGTTAATTTCCTGTAAGAGAGTAGCTGTTTTTACTTTACATTATGAATATTACCGCAAGGGTTAAAGATGAATAAATTTCCGTCATGGCCTCATAACTACATCCTTACTGGAGATATAATTCAATGCTAGTTTCTCAGAATTTCGCAACCACGGATAACGGGGCCATGGGGGAGGGGGGAGGGTGCTCCCTATAATGTCCTATACGGAGAGGTTCCGCCCGAAAGGGTTACCCTTTTCAGCCTTCAGGTATATAAGAGGGTAAGGATACCACATGTTGAGATACTTGAAAGGGTAGGGAAATCTATCATCTTGATCCCGGCACAACGTGAATTAAATGAAAAATACTTGTTTGTTTGGCTAACACGGTGAAAGGGGTAGAGTTTCTGTCAAATGGTATACAAAAGGGTAAGGGGTTGGACCTCGGGGCGGCGCCCCCCTCCCCCCGTATAAAACTTTGTAGAGTACCCCTTCCCCGGAAACGGGACAAACGGCCTTTGAAACCACCGTAAGCTAAGGAAAAACGCAATCTAAAAAGTGCATAGAAAAACACTAGTCACTACATTGCATTCACTGCTCTCTCCGACTAAACCAGGTAAACAGTGCATAATTAAAATCTAACTGATTGAACAGCAAACTACATTTCTACCAAGAATGTCGACACAAGGATTTTGCCTACTGCATAGTTATAAGGTATTCAGGGTAGCACTGACTATCAAAAAATACAACAAAAATAGACGGGTTTCCTTGATTATCAACCACTGATTCATGCAATATCTCAGGTCTTGAAGGGTTCTTTCGGGGAGGCACAATCATTGAAGAGCTGCCTACACAATACTCTCCGACCAGGACCCGGGCAAGATACATGTGGCGGGCCCCGACTTCTCCTCTTGCGTAACCAAGTGAGTATTGAGCGTCTCTTGCAAAATACACACCGCGTCCAAAGGCAACTCCTGAAAGGGAACAGAAAAAGCATTTAAAAGGATAACACATTTGTCTGCATATATTCTGCATTGAAATGATTCCAAAACATTCATCTAGCAGCATTAGAAAATTTATTACACACAAAAAAAATTACTTAGATAAAAATCAGAATAGAGGCAATATGAGTAACTGTGATGGATGTCGAGAACGCTACCTCATGTTATCAGCAAGAAGTGGGCAGATATTCCTGTAATTCAATGGAGTGAATTGAAATGGGCGTACGAGCACCTACGGACTTGTAAGAGGGGAGGCGGTGACCTTATTTCCCGAAAAAAAAAATTACACAATGCTCGAAAGCGTGAGTGTTGTTTATACGCACTCAAATTGCAGTAAAAACAAAAACGTTCACAATTCTCACCTCTAATGAAACTGTTCATTCCAAAAAGTAGTTATTTTGAAACCTCGCGTACTTTATGACCTCGATCGACAGTCTAGTAACATGAGGTAAAATCAGAAACTTATAAAAGAAACAATTAATTCTTCCTCGTACGACGGAAAAGTGCAAGAAAATTTTAAAACGCGCGGATCTCTTTGGGGCTATTCCAAATGGCTCTTTTTAGAGCCACCACGAAAACAAAAGTCTTGGTCTTGGTTTGCTTTGATTCTTTTGTCATTGTTTTGTCGATGGAAATAATATCTATCTCGTGGATTTCCACCATACACATTTAAACAATATATGGCTTTTCCAAAACAGAATAATTGGATCCTTATAGCATTTGACCTTAACTCCGTTTTGACAAGGCAGACTTCAGAGAAAGTAGCCTACAAGCCTGCCCTTGTCTACCTTCCTCTTGTTTTCTCCCGTGTACTTTTGCCCGAATAATCAGCGCTTTGCCCGAAAAATTTCAAAAATTTCTGAAACTGGGGGAGGGAGGCTGCATCCCCCGTTCCCCCTGGCCCGTATACCTATGATGGAAGGCCTTTTGTTTCTAAATCCGGGATACGCCCACCGAAAAAGTTAAATAATCCATCCAGTAGGAATGATGAGATGTCACTTTTGCTTCACATCCACCCTTCCCGGCAGAGCAATTGTGTAACTAACAAACCACTTACCATGGGCCCCACATAAGCTTCTGTTAAATCCTTGAGTGTTGATTTGGCTGACATTTTTAGCGTCGGTTCCGTGAAACAACTGCCGTTCACTATTTCTTCCGAGGTCTTGGTTCATCTTCTGTTTTCTCACCGTGTAAAACTGGTAAAGATGGGGATTCTGTATTCGTTCTATTTTTTGAATATTCACTGCACCAGCGGTAGCTTGGAACTTGCGCAGGACATCCTTGTACTCAGTGGAACTTTGTGAGAGTGGAACCGTGTGCACTGTCATGTCAGCACTTGGCATTGGCGCCCAGTGTTCGGGAAGAGCAATTCCTGAAAACGGAATGGCTGCTACGTTAACATACAGCCTACGTGAGAGCAGACAAACGTATAAATTCTAGTTTCTACGTCACTCTAATGCCGGAGACAATCTCGGACAAACGTGGGCTGAATCTAAGACGATCCGTGGTCGCTCTGTACATTGACAGCGAACGAATTTGGCATGGACCGACCATCTAAGAAGCAGGTGACTAAAAATGATGCAACACTGTTGCTTTCCCTTCTGCACTGTTTGAAAAAAATCCTATAGGGTACCGAGAAGGCTTAGAAAATGTTGTAAGGGTTAATACGTTTATTGTAGGCATCACCACCTTAATTTGAACAGACAGTTAACCGTTAAAACCTTAAGTTCCCTTCACCATCTCAACAGTTAAAGTGAACGAGCTGACTGGCAGTTCCAGACTGCAGGAGAATAGAAGTCAAAATATTAGCGTAAGCAAACAAGGCTTACTGGTATTGCTTTGTGGAGTGTTTTTGCGCGGCTTTCCATTTCCAAGCTATATTTCTGATACCAACATGATAAATGTATGTCATTTGCCGGCTGGGAGGTCCGTGTAGTGAAAAACTGTGACCGAGGTCTTGAAAATGCTGCCCGACGCCGCAGGCTGAAGGCAGCATTTTCAAGCCCGAGTTCACAGTTTTTCACTCTATGGACCTACCCTAAGCCGGCAAATAACATGTTTATTTTTTTTCCTTGAGTAAATTGGTTTTACAGATTACAAATGGGTTTGTTTATGGTCATTGAATCGGCTTGCGCGCCGTCTACTAACGCTTTATAAAAAAAGTCTTCGCAACGGGCGAGTAACTCAGATAGTAGACAGAGAAAGACGAATTCAAGAACAGATTTGTTTCCACCTACTTTATGTTAGTTGCATTTATTTCACCAGTTAAGTTCTCCAAAATTTGTCAGTTTTTGTGGTGTGAAATCTCGTGCGAAGTTTGAAGTTTTACTACAAAAACAATTTCTGTCAGTCGTTGCTATTAAAATCACTTGAAATCAGACTTTTCTGCCATAAATTGAAAATCAAAAAGCGAGGAAATTTTTTAAGTGTATTCCACAGAAATTCACCTAAATACAGCAACGATCAGAGAGGTAATTGACTGAAATTGACTCAAATTTTACGGCGAGAGAAACACAGGACTACGCGTCATTATAGCGCCAAGCTACAAACAACCAAGCAAACTCTCACAACTTCAAAACACTCAATTGAATTTACTTACAGTGACTTTCCTTGCCCTTTTAAAGTGAACAGAGGTAAACTGGCCTTGACTAATCGTCGATGGAAGTGTAAAAAAAGGCAAAAGATTGACGATTGCCGCTAACTTTTAGGAGCGAAATTTAGGAGCCGTAATCGCTAAAGCGGGGAAATAGTCCGGCCCGTGGGCCGTATCGTAAAAAGCTGGACCGGTCACGAGCGCGTGATTAGCCAATCAAATTCGAGGATTTAGGATTCCGGCACGCTCAGATGCTTGAAAAAAATAATAATAATTACCGTTTATATAATGGATTGTCACTAACCTTCTTCAGCTCCCTTCACCTTCCTCTTCAGTGTAATTTGATTACCGGTTCGTAGTCCGCGGCCAGATTTTGCCCTCAAATCGATAACAAACTGCTCTCTAAGTAAAGGTACTTGCACTCTGGGCTCATCTTTACTGCTCGCCATCTCAATTTTGGCGTTTGTTTTCCGATCGAAAAGCATTTCGCTACCATGTATTTCATAACTCCATTCTATATTCCTTGACACCAGTTGCGCCTGTTCTTCCTCTTGGTTCTTCTTTGTCCTCTCGTTAATCTCTTTCCAGATCTCCTCGACCATATCTGACACTTCAGTCGGATGACCCCGTACGACAATGCGATCAACATCAGCCTCGACTACAAGTTTGACGTCATGGTCCTCGGCTTTTCTATTCAGGCTGACTACCTGTTTATGAGAAAGTTGACTAATAACTTTGTTCTCGACTTTCTTGGTTGTACAAGCTTCAGAGAAACCTTTCTTCAAAGATTCCACGGCTTTTTCCACTTCAGCCTTTTTCTTGCCAATCACACCAATTCGCACAGAGTGGTCGAGACTTGCTTGTTTTACTGGACTTCTTACACGCATTCTTGGCTGGCCAGGATCTGTCTCATCTGAAGATGAGTCGCTTTCTTCTTTCTCCAAATCTTGCATTGAGTTTCTCTTCTGCTCTTGCAAAAATTCCTGCATCATTTGAGCTTGAAATACAATCACTCTCACTTTGCGAACACTTTTACAGCTGCCACTGAAGTTCTTGAGCGCTTGAAACGTTATCTGAGCAGACTGCGCAGCGTCCAAACCATATCCACCGGTACCAACACTTGGAATTGAGATCGATGGAAGGTTGTTTGTATCTGCAACAAGAAGACCATGTTCCAGACATTGTTGAAGATGTTGTTTATCGGAAGAGCCTGGAATTATGTGAATGATGTGACGAACATTTAAGTTCCCACCACTGGTCATCAAAGCTGAGCCAGCAGACTGCTTTCCCAGCTGGTTACACTCTTGCTGCACCTGTGGCCCGCTTTTGGTTGCTATCGCTTTACTTAATTCGCCAGCGTTATTCATGTTCATATCTGTGCTGTTGATATTCATGATGGCGTCGGTCTTCTCTTGAGTAAGATCACCATTTATGACTTCCACACTAAGGCGGCGATCCTTACCAATGGGTGACGTCGTGCCTTTACTAGAATATGAGGAGTGCCTCTGGTGCTCCTGCTGAAATGACTGCAGCATTTGAGGTTGGAAGACCACAATCCTGACTTTACGAACGGTATTGAAGCTTCCGCTAACGTTGCCAAGAGCTTGAAATATCAGATTGGCAGAGTCTACAGCAGACAAACCGAATGCTCCCGTTCCAATTGCTGGGATAGAAATGGATTGAAGACCTTTTGTTTCTGCAAGACGAAGGCATCTTTCCACGCACTGCTGCAGATGATCCTTTCTCGCAGAGTCTGGGATCATGTGAATGATGTAACGTGCCGGCAAATTCCCACCGCTGGTGATTACTGCTGATCCACCCGACTGTTGTCCAAATTGATTGCACTCAGTCTCCACTTCAGGACCACTTGCTAGTTTCACTGCCTTGCTCAAGGCTCCTGCAGTCTCCATATTCATATCTTTGCTGGTTATATTCACAATCGCATCGGTTGTCTCCTGGCACAAGTCACCTTTCAGAACCTCGATACGCACACGCTCTTTTTGGACTGTTATCTGGACTGGATTGGTAGAACGATTGCTACTAAATAACCCACTCATAGTGTAGGCAGGACGGAATTTGTGCTTGGATTTCAATTTGTCCATCTCTTATTTAAAGGCAGCTGTTAATGTCTGATCTCCCTGGAACACGACAAATCGAATATTCCGCACTTTATATGCAGGGCTAGCTTGGCAAAAACTGATCGCTTCCTCTAACATGATTCTCGAGGCTGCATCCCGCGGGAAGTTGAGATTTCCAGTTCCTATGACAGGAAATGCAATGGACTTCGCTCCAAGCTCTTCCCCCTTCTGTAGACACTTTTGAACAATGGCCCGTAGAGTCTAAAGTAAAAGGAAAGGACCAAAAAATGGTTTTGAAAATGCGCTGTCTAATGAGTATGGTAAAGACAAGATCATGGTAAGAGAGTGAATCTACCATATAGGCCTGATATCCAATTTAATCCCTCTTATGTTATTTTTAGACATGTATCCAGGTCTTCCGCGGATGTTACTCTTAGGTTGTGTGAATGTTTTCATGGTGGATTTGTTCATGTGTCGCTTCGTTTCAAAGCGAAGAGAAAACTCCAACGCTGTGGGGATGTCTTCTTAGACATTCTAATAGCAAAGAAACAAAGGAGTTATTGCCCTCGCTATGGTTTAATACATTTCGAAATTTTAATAGGAGTTTAAATAAGAGACAGATGTCTCCTTCCCAAACAAAACATAAACTGAATGAACGGAAGAGAAATGAGTGGCCAAACGACTTCAAAGCAAACGAACTCCCGAACACAGCGCAACCGAACAAACAGATAGTCGAAAATGAAGACAGAAGATCGCCGCCCAAACAGTAAAAGGCACTTTACGAAACAGCAACAACAACAACGCCAAGCTTGTCAAACGCACGCCCACACTTATGTCTAACTCAAGAACACGCAAGATTTGAAGCTTTTGGCTCGATTACTCAGAAGAGTTTTAACAGAGGTCAATTTTACCAACGAAATTTAAGACTACAACAAAAATTTACTTTAAAAGGTGTTTTGAAATACAAAAGCCTTACGATTTAATGCGTCAAAATTTAAGTTTTCGAACTCACCTTCGGCGCGAAAGAATGGGTCTGTGCTCTTTTACGCATGCTCTGATCTCAATATTACCGCAATATTCGAATAGAGCGCAAGATATCCTTTATTTTGGTATATAATTCGTCTAGTTTGCGACCGATTTGGATGAACCAAATGGCCGCTAAAACTTGAATACTTCTACTGTTGATACTTCCGTTGTTTTGCGGATCCGTTAAACCCGTGGGAGAAGGATCGGAGGGTACAAAAACGGGATTTTCCGGCCGTTCGTTACCTTCGTTAACATGCAGTATCAACAAGTAAGTTAATTCGTAAATAAATCAAATGATTCGACCCGAACTTCTACACGAGTGGCTGGCTCGGGCTCGTCATTTCGACCAGAATACAGTTTCTTTTTTTATTTCCCGCTACAATTCCCCATGAACCAATTCCAGTCGGTCGTACAGAGAAGAAGAACACGGACAAGGAATAGGTTCCATCCGTTGAAAAGGGTTGTCAGTCTCACACCCGCGTGCCCGCCACTCATCGAATTGTTCACTGTATCCCACGTAATAAATTTTCACTCGCTTTGTGATCTTGTCTACTGCTCTCACAACGACGGAATAAAGATTAGGGTCGGCTGTCTTTGTTTTTGTCTTCTTTCGGGATAAAAGCGCGTAAAAGCTCCGATAAAACGACCTCGTCTGTCGCGTTGGGCGAGTTTTATACAACACGGACTATCCAACATGGCGGTCACGACTTACTCCTATTTTCGCATATGCTTTCAGGAATCCCGAAGGTAAAGCTGAATGTCCAACTTCATGGAGTTTTCTCCGTGACACTTCCGAGGCAACAATTAATTGTTTTATATTAACTGAAACAAAATACTGACCATAACAATGTTTCTCGAAAGCCTTTTTTGACTCAATTTAAAAATATGCACACCCTGTAGCATGCATTTCCCTAAGTGTTCAATTGTTTGTTCAGTTTTCTTCCTGCTTCGATCGCAGCTCTGCGAATAGGGCGTGTCTCATCAGGCTTATTTGTACTCTACTGCTTGTTTGTGTCATCCTGGTTTCTGTTGTTACCAATGGGTTCTTCGTATTCGGTTGGTTTTTCACTACCTTCCGAGCATTCTAAGGGGTACAGGAAGCTCGATAGACGGTTCAGCAACTTTCCGGAGGCTGTTCGGACTGTAGCAGCTCTTACTTCATCATCTCTGCTTGTAGTGAGTTTTTTAATATATCATCCCAAATTCCAGGTTCCTCTTGGTGAGCTTTCTTTCAGAAACACGACATCTCCTTTTCTGGGTTAAGCTTCCGATTGAACTCTGGGAGCTTTCAAGTGTTTTGGCGTTCTTTCACGCAGACTCAGAACATTTTCATCAAACCACAGATTCCAAAACATGTTGAGATGTTTCTGGCCTTTCTTCCATGTTTCAAAAAGTTTCTTCGCGGAACGTAACCTTTCGAGAAAGTCTGGATCTTGCAGCTGTTCGTCTTCTGATGCAAGGCATGCTTCATCGGTTTTTGGATTTAGACTAAGGAATTCATCAGGGGTTAGTGCAAATCCAGAATTCAGATCAGCTCCCTCGTAACTAATGGTCGCGAATTTAAAACAGCTTTGACCTCTGTAAGAATGGTTTCCAACTGGACAATGTTTAAACAGATCTCGCCAATACTCTAACGGAACGCCTGCTTCGCAAGTTCCACAAGACGTTCATAAAAGCCTCCCATCCATGGCCAGGGGAAGAGTTCAATGATGAAGCTTCCTTTGATTCCTTTATTGGCTAGATAAGTTTCCATGTCCGAGCTAGTGGCGGCAAATTTCCATGCTTCATCAACAGTGGACTGGCTTGAACTGTGAAGCATTGTCAGATATAATCTGTTTCGGCTTGCTACGCCTGGCGATAAATCTTCTTAGGCATAAAATGAATTGCTCTGCAGACATGTCATTGACGAGTTCTAAATGGACACCTCTGCTTACTGAGGAGGTAAATAGGTAGACCCACACCTGTTGTGCCGATGATTTATTGTCCACTTTCAAATATAAGGGTCCCTGCTAGTCACGACCTGTTTATATAAAGGGTGAGGACACTTCTCTTCTTAAGGGCGGGTATGGAACCATCTTGGGCATTCTGTATGGGCTCCCTTGATGTCTTCTACATCTTCGACAGTTCAGAATAACCTTTCTCACTGTTGCTCGTCCTTGTGGTATCCAGAATTCTCTTCTGACAGTTGCCAATGCATGGAATACTCCAGCATGCATCAACCTTTCATGAAGGTTGTTGATGACTAAGCTTGTGGAGGCGTGGTTCTTTGGTAGAAAATTTAGGAAGGAGGTACTTTTTGGAAGGTTTTCTCTGAGCAACGTGCCATTACAACGGAGTATTCCATTTTCATCTATAGCTAGTCCAGGTTCATTGTATTGCTCTTGATTGCATTAATCTCTGATGTGAAACTGCTGTTCTGGACATGTCTTTCCCACATTACCTTCGCTTGGTCTATTTCTTCGGCTTTAAGTTCTTCTTCCTCGGTACTCCTCATCTGAAGTTTTCGACTGAATCGCAATGACCATGCCGTCACTCTGCGAAACCTTGTTAGGGAAGAACAATTCCTCTCATTCAGGTCAAAGGGGCTCCTAGCTTGTCAGAGTGCTCTTTCTTGCAATCCGTTTCAGTCAGGACTGAGATCTCGTACATAATCTGTGAACCAGCAGGCTGTTTGGCATTTCTTCTTAAGTGCTGTCGTCAATCTGCAAGACGTCCCACGAAGGCCACTTCGTCGAAGGGTCACTAAGCCAAGATGGTCCTTCCACGACTGTGGATTGCTTATGAGCTCTTCTGTGGAAATACCTTTGGTCGCTAAGTCGGCTAGTTTCTGAGTTGTGGTGACATATCTGACTCCTTGATATCTTGTGAGAGGTTATCTCTTTCCGCCGGTTCTGGACAAATATAGGTATAGGGTTTTGTGGCTTTTCATCCAATGTAGAACACACTGTAAGTCTTTCCACAATATCCGGTCAGTCACTGGCAACTGGAGTTACTCAGTCGCATAGTTTAGGCATCTTGTTCCAATGAGAACAGCTAAGAGTTCCAGTTTTGGAATGCTGAGTTGCTTTGTTGGGGGTAGCACGAGCTTTGGAGAATACCAGGTTGACATTGGCAGTCACTGTGGAGTACAGATATACAGTTGCTGAACACGTCTTTAACAAGCAGTGAAGCAGAACGGTTTGTATTCATCTCCTTCTAGGTATCTAGGTTTTGCCAGTGAGGACAAAAGAATGAAGTCATCATGCAGCTTCCACCACTCTTGCTGTTTTGATTCACACAGAGTCTTATCCCAGTCTAGCTCTTGTTTCCACAGTTCTTGAACGAACAGTTTTCCATTCAGTGTGGCTGGTGAGAAGAAACCTAATGGATCTTGACTGCAATACTTTTTTTTGAAGTGACTTGACAGGATGAAGTGTCAGATCCATTGATAACGATTGTGTCACTGATCATGTTCCAGGTTGTTCCACGGTCTGTGATAGTGTCTCCACTTGTTCGGTCAGCTTCTGGGATGCTCTGGAGAAATTGTTTAGAGTTTGATGCCCACTAGCGGAGATTCAATGATGAGGACTGGAAAAGGGACTTCGCTCCAATGTAGAATTAATATTCGTCTGCTTGTTCTGCTGTGGCAACACCCGTAATCATGTAGTCCACGTACATGTTTTCTGAAATCGTCTTGGCTACTGGAGTGTCTGCTTAGCTCAGATGGTACTTGACAGTTGCAGCCAGCAGGAATGGGCTGGATGTCATTTCAAATGGGACTCTTGTAAATCTCAGTACCTGGAAATTGTTTTCCCAGCTGGGCTTTGCGGTATCTTTTAACCAAACAAATCTTGTGACATCTCTGTCTTCAGTCTTCAACTCCCACTTGAAGAAATATTTTTTCGCCATCAGCAATTAGCGCCACTTTGTTAAGTCCGAAGCTCATCAGAGGTCCAAACAAATCCCCCAGTATCATTGGTCCACGGTGTAGGCTTTCATTCAGGCTTTGACTCCCCTTTCTGGTTTTG